ATATATATATAAACACTTTTAGAATTTTAGTTTCTAACAATACTATTAAATCTTGAATATATTAGAATTATTAAAAAAATAATAATCAATATTAGATCACCCAGCAATGATTTGCAATATAAAATTTTAATTATATATTTTTATGAATCAAAAATAAAAAATTATTTACATTTCAACAGAAAAATAATGCCTAAAGTACAGCTTTCCATTTTTCAAAATTTACATCTTAATTCATCATTTATATGTGTATTTAGTTGATTACTGATATAACATATTATTAGCTGATGTAATCTATTAATTGTTAACAATAATTGATGTAATACATTATATTATATATGTCATTTTATTAGTTTACATCATTATTGATCATTGGCCTATGTATGTTAAATGGTCAATTATGATGTGATAAAATATGTGAATTTCAAAAGTTGGTGACATTTAAAGTTATACAAAAAAAATAATTTAAATATATTTTTAATCTTTATAAAATGAGCATGTTTTGATTTTAGTTTCTATAATTTTTTTTATCCCTATAAAATTTGGAATTGGTGTTTTGTCCCTAAAAAGTAAGATAATTTTAGTTTTAGTCCTAATAAATTATTTTTCTTTAATTTTTATCTTTATAAAACTTAAAAGTTACTATTTTTGTCCCTCAATTCATTTTAAGGGAAATAAATAATTTTTATTTTAAAAATTTATAAAAAAATAGATGTGTCACATACTAACATATAGTATCAAATACAATTGTGAATGTTACTGGGAATAACCGGTTACCATATGATAAACACAAAAATAATTAACAATAATCACATAATATTATAAATTAAAAATAAAAATTTCAAATTTATTAGAATAAAAAAATTACAGATCCAAAATTAAAAATAACTTATTCAAAAATTTAAATCATATTTAAACCTAAAAATTTACATAAAAATATTCTCATGCGCATTTAAATAGTTGTATACTAATATCTTCATCATATTAATATTATACAAGATATAGATTTTAAGATAAATAATGTCATCATTTTTTAAGTACAAAATTATACTTAAATTTATTATATTTTACTTCTCTCCTCATTAACTACATAGTGATCTCTATACACAACTTATAAAAATGAGATTTTCTTTAATATTTTATGATTTTTTACACTTAAATCATTGTTATTAAAAATATGTTATTACCTTCAAACTTAAATTAAACTATATTTTCTTTTAAATTATAAACAATTACTATTATTTTATATTTAAATTAAATTACATTAGTTATTTTTATTTATTATTATTATTATTATTATCTTTAAATTCATATTAATCATTCCTATTTTATTTTAATTTCTAACAAATCACCTTAATTATCTTTACAATATTATTGTTATAATTATACTAATAGATGTTCAAATTTAAACTAAATAAAATGTTATTTTTATATAAACTGGGTTAGGTCTTGAGCACATGTAATGTCTAATCCCACGTCATTACATGCATGGTTTTGTTTTGATTGACATGCTTAATTTGCAATGCATTGTCACTGTTACAACTGCATTAGAGAGCCTTTAATGTCTTAATTGATGTGTTAAGTGTTTCTTGTTCTGATATTCACACCTACTCATCGATTTCATTTCATCAATGTGTGGGGTGCCCAGCTGTCCATGTATGCATGCCATTCATGTACCTATTGTATGCGCATGAATATACATAATTATTCATGATCATTTTGCATCGGAATATTATGAACTTTGGTCGTAGAAACTATCATTGCTAATAATTGATTTGAGTATTTTTTTTGCAAATGAATA